CTCAACATGAGTGACCAGACTGGGGGGTGGGTAGGGAGTCTATTTCAGGGAACTCTCTCACCCCCCCCCTAGACAGGATTTGGCATTCTCTAGAGAGTCTGTTCCCTTTGGGCCTGGGAAAGCCTCCAGCCTGCACCACAGTCTCAGACACCCTCTAAGGCCCCAACACTGGCCTCCCCAGCACTTGCCAGCCTGATCTCCCCTCCTCCTCTTCCCACTGAGCCCAGTGGCAAGCCCCAGGTGGAGAGAATGGAGAAATTACTAATGGCTGGGGAACGGCTCCTCACAATCCAATGGTGCCCTACACTTTGCTTACAACCAAGCTGAAGGAGGACTGCAAAGGACTGTTAATAAACTACTAAAAATAATTTTTATGACAGAAAACTAGATAATGCAGGAGACACACTTAGGAGGATTTTAAATTCTTGTGTAATGCTATGACAAAACTCACCCTATATCCCCAGCTTATCTATGTGAACACATTTCTCAGTACTCACAGCTACAGGAGCAAAGAACGAAAATAGAACTGGTTATTCAAACACAGATGTGAATTGTGGAAAATAAATATTCATCTTCCTATGAGATATCTGCCTCACATTTTATAGTGACCTATAAAATACATAAGAGTTATAGTAATCAAGTATATACTACTAATAATAATTTGATTCAAGGGCTGAAGAGATGGCTCAGTGGTTAGGAGCACTGGTTGCTCTTCCAGAGGACCCAGGTTCAATTCCCAGCACCCACATGGCAGCTCACACCTGTCTGTAACTCTAGTTCCAGAGTATCTAACATCCTCTTCTGGCCTCTGCAAGTACCAGGTAGATAGGTTGTTCACAGACATGCACACAGGTGAAACACCCAACCAGATAAAATGATTCAGAAGAAAATTTTCACTTAGAATTTATCTACTTTGAAAATAAATATTGTAATATGTAATCTTCTAAGTAAACTTCTATTGCAAAGAAACTATAATTATTCCATATGTCTTCTGGGATTTGCCCTATGGCTATGAAGTTTCCCAGGTTTCTTAGTTAGGGTTTTTATTGCTGTGAAGAGACACCATGACATGACCTCAGCAACTCTTCTAAAGGAAAACATGTAATTGAGTGGTTTACAATTTCAGAGCTTCAGTCCATTGTCATCATGGTGGGCCATGGCAGCATGCAGGCAGATATGGTGCTAGAGAAGAAGTTGAAAGTTTTACATCTTGATATTCAGGCTAACAGGAAGTAGTCTATAGATACTGGGTGTGGTTTGAGCATATCCGACACCTGAAAGCCTGCCTCCACAGTGACTCACTTCCTCCAAAAGGCCATACTTGCTTCAACAAAGCCATACCTCCCAATAGTGACACATTGGGGGCCAATTACATTCAACTACCACACCAGTTATATGATCTTACGGGTTAAGTGAGTTTGGGCTATGACTGGACAGGGAGCCTTTTCTCCTGCAGAGTCTGGGGGCTCTGAGGAATCCTTGTTTGATAGAAGAGCCTATTGCAGATTTAAAAACCTAAACACTGGGCCAGCAGGTAAAGGTGCCTGGTTCAGGCCTGACATCCTGAGCTTGATCCTCTGACCCCACCACAGGTGCAGGAGAGAAGACTCTAGAGAGATGATCTTTGACCCCCCCACACATGTGGGCTATGGTGAAGGCACACACATTTGTATGTACATCACACACACACACACTCAGTCACTCACTCACACACCACTGCAAATGGATGTGGGGAGGTGTGTCTCTGCCTGGGATGAGACTCCACATACCTGGGAGTCGATGACAAAGATCAGTGCTCCTGTTCCCCGGAAGATCATCTCATAGTCAAAGGTGGGGTCAAAAAAGTCAATCTGCCCCGGGAAGTCCCAAATCTGAAAGTTGACAAAGGAGCTGTTGGAGACATCTTCCCTGCAGATCTTGTTGGTGCTCTCCAGGAACAGGGTCTCACTCGGGGACATTTTGTGAAAGACGACTTTCTGTATAGATGACTTGCCACTCCTCCTGAGACCCATGAGCAGGATTCTGGGCTTCACCTCAGTGCTGAAGGGGTCGCTGAAGTCCAGAACTGAAGAAACCACAGGACAGGACAGCACAGGGTGAGTTCTTCACAGCAGCTAACTGGGAGTGTCACCCACATGCTACTCTTCCAAACGGAGAGGGACAGTGTGGGGAGATAAGAACCCGGAAAACTGCCCTCACACAACCTGGAAGGGCAGAGTCCCATTCTATGGCTTGGCATCCCAAGCAGGGGCTCTGGTATACAAAAGCAGAGGCTTCCTGGAGCTCATTTCGTGAAGAACAACTCAGGTCTTTAGCCACACCCTCCCTACCAGACCACCAGAGTCTATGTACTTGGTAACCCTCTCCTGGATGGCATCCCCATGGGCCTCACAGCCTAGAACATAGCCACAGACCAGCGGCCTCCAACTCAGACTGTGAGAGAGCACATGAGACTGGGACCTCTCTCCCAGGACTGTCCACTTCAGCTTCCATCATCTGTACGATAACCACTGACAGCTATTAAGGTTTACATTAAAAGAGGCCGGAGAGAGAGCTCAGTGGCTGCTCTTACAGAGGACCAGAGTAGAGTTCCCAGTGCTTCTGTCAGATGGCTCACTGTCTTCCAGACTCTGTGGGAACCACACTCATGTGCACAAGACATACATATGTATATACACTTTAAAAAAAAAAATAAAATCATCCTTTAAAAAATCAGCTTTAAAAATCCATAAAATGTAAATGACAATGATAATAAACATGTCTTATGTTTATTATGATAGTTAAATGAAATCAAGAACCTAAAATAATTAAGATTCAAGCAGGTGTGGTGATATACACCTATAATTCCAACACTTGGGAGGCTAAGTCTGGAGGATCACAAGGTCTAGGCCAGCCTGAGCTCCAAGGCTTGAAGACTCAATCAGCCAAGGATGCTGGGCCAACTGATCATCTACATGCAAAGACCCTTACCTGAGACTGCATCCAGGTTAACTCAAAATGGACCAAACACCTCAACTTAGGAACTAAACTAAGCTCTTAGGAAGAAACGTAGGTAGATCTTAGATTAGGCAGTTGTTCTTTAGCTATAACCATGTACAAGTAACCACAGAGGAAGAGGGACACTAACTACATGTCATCAGAAAAAATTTTTTTAAGATTTTATTTATTATGTATACAACATTCTGCTTCCATGTATATCTGCACACCAGAAGATGGCACCAGATCTCATAAAGGATGGTTGTGAGCCACCATGTGGTTGCTGGGAATTGAACTCAGGACCTCTGGAAGAGCAGCTGGTGCTCTTAACCTCTGAGCCATCTCTCCAGCCCCTTACATCATCAAATTTTTAAAAAGATGGGCACTGGAAAGATGGCTTAGCAGTTAAGAGTACTTGATGCTCTTACAGGGGACCAGAATTCAGTTCCAAGCACCTAGGTCAGGCAGCTCACATCCACCTGTAACTCCAGCTCCAAGGGACCTGACACCCTCTTCTGACTTCTTTGGGTGCCAACACACAACCATACACATGCACACGTAATAGAAAAATAAAACAACTCTTTTTTTTAAATTTAAAGAAAATGAAAGGATAACCACCACAATGGAAGACAGCATTTGTGAGAGTCATTGTGTCACAATGCTCTAATGTCTGAAATATCTGAAGATCTAAATTGCCTAGTGAAATAACCCAAGGGAAAGGGGGCCAAGAATCCAGACGTCTCTCCAAAGACGATATGCATACATGGTTATAGCATTACTATCTACAAACATATGAGGAGATGTCCCACATTACCAGCCACTGCAGAAACATGGTAAACCACCGGGCGTTGGTGGCGCACGCCTTTAATCTCAGCACTCAGGAGGCAGAGGCAGGCGGATCTCTGTGAGTTCGAGGCCAGCCTGGTCTCCAGAGCAAGTGCCAGGATAGTCTCCAAAGCTACACAGAGAAACCCTGTCTCGAAAAACCAAAAAAAA